ACATACAGCACTGTGGTATGATAATTTCCATGAGCTTTTGTCTATTTCCCAGAAGGGGAATAGCTGGATTGAATGGGGTCTCCAATTCTAGCTTTTTGAGAATGCGCCATACTAATTTCTGTAGCGGTTGTACCAGACTGCGCTCCCATCAGCAGTGAAGGGTTCTTTTTCCCCCACAACCTCTCCAGCATTTGTTATTGGTTGTCTTGTCGATAGTAGTCATTCTTTCTGACATAAGATGGTATCTCAGTGTTGTTTCAATTTTCATCTCTCCAATGACCAATGATGTTGAACATTTTTCATATATTTATCCACCATTTGCTTCTCTTAGTTTTATGAATAATCTCCAAAAGAGTTCTTCAGTGGTTGTAGTCCCTTACATTCCCACCAACAATGTAGAAGGATTTCTTTTTCTGTGCTATTTCACCAGCACTTATTATTGTTTTTTTCTTGCCATTAGAAAATATTTCAGGAGGAAGATAAAATCTCAGTGCTATTTTAGTTTTCATTTCTCTAATAGTGAGACATGCTACAGTTTTCCACATGTTGGCTATTTATGCTTCTCAGAAATATCTCATAATTTTAGCTACCAATGTATTGATTGATTCCTTTATTTGGGGGCTTGTCTAGTTTTGTACTTCTTCATATATTCTAAATAGTAGTCATGTATCCAAGATATAGCTGGAAAAAATTACTCTATTCTGTAGTTGGTCTTTTCACTCTGTTAGTTATTTTCTTTGCTATTCAGAGGCTTTAAAATTATAATCCCTTTTGTTGATTCTTGATGCTATTTCTTGTGCAATTTTTATTATGTCTGGAAATTTCTTACCTGGACCAATGTTTTCAAGAGTTTTGTCTATTTTATCATCCAGGAAATTAAGTATTTTCATTTTAACACTTGCATCTTTAATTTACTTTAATTTAGTGCCAGAGGAGAGATAAGGACCATGTATGTAGCCAGTTTTCACAGGACCATTTGTTAAAGTGGCTCTCTTTCCTATAGCATGTTTTTAGCTCTTTTGCTACAGATGAGATGCCTACATGGGTCTGGTGAGGTTTCTGCATCTTCTATTCTATTCCATTGATCCACACGTCTGTTTTTGTCCTAAAACCATCTTGTTTTTACCAATATAGCTTTAAAGTATGTGATACCTGTTTTACTCTTTTTGCCCAGGATTGATTTTGCTCTTCTGAGTTCACTTCTGGCTCTATATTGTATTGATTGTTTGCACTACTGACATTTTGATTGGGATAGATATGATTTTTGAAAATATTGATTCAGCATATCCAAGAAGAGGCTATATTCTATATTCTTCTCTTTTTCTTGATCTTTTTATTTGTTTATTTGTGTATTTGGTACAGGATCTTCCTATACATCTTAGACTCAGTGATCTTTCTCAGCCTCCCCAGCACTGGAATTACAGGCATATGCTAGCATGCCAGGACTATGGAGCCAGCACAGCATGCAGTACCAGCGATTAAACCCAGTCCTTATGCTTGCCAAGCAGGCTCTTAGACCACTGAGCCATCTCCCCTGACCTATATTCTATTTTCTTATCCCTATTTGTTCTCCTTTTGTCAGAGCACTACAGTTTTCATGACAGAGCTCTTTTACTCCTTTGATTAGGTTACTTCCTAAATATTTTCTATTTCTCACAGCCAATGTGAATCACATTTCCTTACTCATTTTTCTTACTGGCCTCATTATTGTTGTCGAGGGATGTTGCTGAG